AACGCACAAAGATAATCTGATTTCCTTCGAATGCTCCAGTAATTCTTTCAGGTCGCCCCTAATTCACCATCAACCACCTCACTGCTGGTTGAAGTTTTCTCCAAAGACTTTTCCACAGACTTTTGTTTGAAACTTTTAAAACTCATCATTCAATTGATCTGGAGGTCCTCGTTCTGGAGGTTCCACTTCTTGCTTTCTTGCATGCCGTTTGATCCCCTTTGAAACCCAATCTACCTCTCTGGCTTAACGATGTTTGGTTCTCTGTGTAGCGTGTTCCACCAATTGTCTTTTCAGTTCTTTAACTCGTGGAAAGGCACCTCGGACAGCAGTTTATGCTCTTATCCTTTACTTCTCATGCGTCTTCAAACTTTCTTGTTATTTCTAACATATACCGTTCCTTGCTGAATTGAAATATAGTCTAGATTGTGAATGGCTTTCAGGCTTGGCGTCAACGTTTCGCATGTATGTGTTAGCACCGAAAGCGTACGTGATGGAAAGCGCTACTTTTCAAGTAACAGGACAAGTTTCCAGGACAAGGACGTTTTCACTCTTCCTAAAAAACCATCCTAATTCCTCTTCTGTCGATTTCGCAGAGTCGGTTCTCCTTTGTAGAGATGTGCTTTCTCGTAAGGGTTCAGCATAACACTTCTTCAATACTGATTTAGTTCAATAAGTAGTGAGGCCACTTATTCGGTGAATAGGACTTGGGTCATCTTAACATTCGTTTTCAGTGCTGCCTTCGTCTTTACGTTCTCCAGTCATCGGATTCTCCATTGGAACGGATCAGAATATTGTCCACAAACCGAAGATGGCCAAAGCAGTGCCATTTGTTTTCAGTCCTTCATTTTTCCAATGGGATGTCTTGAAACCTTTGCTACTGCTGCTGTGAATAACTCTGATGATATTGCGCCTCCCTGTTGAGCAATTTTTTTTGTTCGAACTTACTTGTCCTCAGTGGAGCTGCTTTACACCTGCACTTGCGTTCTTGCAAATACTGGCGATGAGGTTTGTCTACCTGCTCTCAATTTCTTGGCTCCTGAAAAGATCCAATACAAGCCGAGTGTAGAATGAGTCAAAAGCCTGCGTGAAGTCGACGAACCGCAGGAGAAGGCAGAGAGGAAACAGATATTCGTTGTGTGATGATGATCCGTGGTATTAAATTCATTTCCACTTGAATCCTCTGCAATCAGTTGCTGTTTGAATAATCATGGACATAAATCTTGTACGTTTCGTCCATCAAGTGATTTTCGATTTTCAGAGATGGCTACCACATCAGATCCTGTCAATTATCTTGCAATTACCAGTTTCACACAGTTCGCCCATTTGTTGGACCGTATGGTAAAGTTTTGTCGCCGTTATGCTTCGTATTCAAAGTTGCAATAATTATAACGTGTTTTTTATGAAGTCATAATGACGTAGGTTTCTTACCATTTTTCAAGTCATAGAAAAACGCTCATTGTTTTGCAGATCAAACGTTTCTCCAAATGAACATCTCTAGCTGATATCAGAATCCCTAGGAGTTAGCCTGCTGTTAACGTTTACCAGTTTATTTTGTCAATGAACATTCCTACTAACATTTCGTAAGCAGAAACTTTTTGTCCACATAGCAATATACTGATTATAAAGATGCGTCTTTAAAATTAGAATAGGGTACTTTAAGGTATTTACAAAACTGGAACTTAATCACGACAGTTCTTCCTCAATACTTGAGCTACTCATTGATGATCCATTTTTCTTCCCTAAGTTACTTCATTCTTTGGCTAAGGCGTTCACGTCCCTAAGGAAGGAGCCAAACTACGCACAATTTTGCAGGAATATATATCCCTAGGCTTAGTTCCATTGCAAGTTGGTGAGAGTTGATTCTCGAGACCGTTTAAATGTGTCCATGTGCTATGGCAGGTTCAACCATGATGCGTAAGTTTGAGAAATATAGGCGGCTAGATGAAAGAAAGAAACGACACTCATCAACTCGTAGCGTAGTGAGCTAAGGCCAAATCCTCCAAGATGAAACCACGACTGATATCACGGCTGCAAGACCAATGTTAAATCTTGTAGCGGTGAATCACTGGCACCCACAGATGACAAAGGAAGAAAACTCTCAAGTCCTCATAGCGAGGCTCTGCTTGAATTAAATGCCTGAAAGGAAAGACCTCTCAGACCCGTATTACCCATGGCTAGCATATGTGGAGGTGTTCACTCAATAAAGGTAAAGCAAAATGCCTTGTGCGGCACTTTGAGATAGAAGTAATGCTGAATAATGGCACATCTACGTGTTCTGCAATACATAGATTAAGGTTGAACATATGGACAGACTTATGACGATAATCACACGATGGATAACGTTCTCGCGCAACAGGAGTTAAGTAGTTTTTAAAACAAATTTATCCAGAAGCTAGTTTCTTTAAATATGTCACTATTATAAAGTTGTATGAAACTCATATGAATTACAAACGTATATTTAGTTTATCCATATCCACAACTACCAGCTGCCGCGACAGAACTGGCTGAGGCAGCTAATTCGACGTCAACAGGTAAAAGCGAATAGCTTTACATTGTACTTGTTTCATGTAAACGATGCCTCGTTTCAGTTTCTACGACAACCTCTTCGAGTACTTCTACTTCAAGAAGCACTAGTACCTCTACTTCCACTAGCACTAGTACTTCTACTTCCACAAGTACTAGCACTTCTA